CACGTACTGTAAAATAAAGTGCAACCTATATTGAAAAAAGTATTTGCAATTTATATGTTGCCTATTGGACCACACTAAACAGTCAAACCTCGATTCCCCCATTATAAATATATTAAAAAGTAAAACTATATATATAAAAAAATCATTTTGATTAGAGAAAGGACAAAATACAAAATAAATAAGGTAAAAAAATTAAATAAAAACGGGAATATTTCCTTCAAAAAATAGTTTAAAATGTTAGAAATTCTAGTTGGCAAAAACAAAAAAACCACCTTTGATGAATGAAAACTATATAATATGTGTTCCATCATAGAAAACTGAGTTTAATATTTTATCCAATATATTAAGACATGTGATGAAATTTACTGTATACTCAACATATTTCGTTCATAGCGGAACAACATTCCTGTCCGAAAACCTAAATCTAACCCTACCCATAAGTTATCCCTAAAATCAGCAGGAAATTATAGGTGAAGCCAAAACTTGACATAAACTGTCAATTTGTCCCTCAAATCTGATTCGTTGATTGAAATATTGTTCTAGGATCAACAAAGATGTTGTACTTGGTGAAATCATGCTCCCTGTAAGCCATTTCACACTGTAGGATCTCAGTAGTCATTAATGTCAGACTGTACGGCATGAAGTCAAGACATGTTAAAAACAGATGCACGCGAGTTTTACATCATCAGTCCATGACGCGTTCGATGACGGTGAGCTGCATTTAATGCGGGATTGAAATGGTGGCTAGCAACGAAAAACAATCTCTAGCGTTAATGTTGTTGCTGCACTAAATGCGGCATCAGGTTCTGCACTCCTAGTCGTTTTTTGATTTAATGGTTGTTTTAGGACAAGCCACACTGTAGGACTTCGGACACTGGCAGAATTAACATTTGATCGCAATGGTCATTAATCGGCTGTCAAACTAGTAATCAAAGACTACAGATTTTAGCCTAGGATCAGAGGAATCTTTTAGGCTTTTAAAAAATTTGTCTCAAACGGCCAAATCGTGGTCAAAATCGTACAGTGTGAACCCGGCTTAAGTCTGTCCATTATCCAGACTCAGTGACTCAGGGCCTGAGCACAGGCAGAAGCACCGCAGTGCCGCTCGGCATCCGAGGAGAGCCAGCGAGAGCAGAAAACCAAGAATTAGCCTTGAAAAGAGCAAATAAATAGGTGCTTCAACTTGAAAAGCCTGTAACAAAGCCTTTTGAGGACCTGAGAGACGACATGAGAGAGAGAGAGAGAGAGAGAGAGAGAGAGAGAGAGTGGAAACAAGTGTTTTGTCTCTCAGCCCAGAGCTGGTGAAGGGGCAAAGCGCCACACAGGGCCGTTTCTGAGGGAAAGCTTTTTAATGAAGCTCAGGGGGAAAGGAGAGCTCATCAGACTGAGACACATCCTCTAAAATCTCTCACACACATTTTATATAACATATATTCACATATACACATTGAAATACTTCCTCTAGACTTTTAATGAGAGCAGGGCAGGATTTATACTCCTGCTGATATGCATTTCACCTGAGGCTACAATATCGAAGTATAGCCTATACTTTATTGTCTCCACCTACACAACCAGCTAGCCAGTGACCCATAAGCCTGAAGGGTTTTACTATACACTGTAAATCACTAGTTAAAGCTCACCAGTGTCTCATTGACCTCATCTTCACCCTGGTGACATCAAAAAATGACCCCTTAGCAAATCAATGACACTAACAGGGAAAAGTGCTAGTTCATCATCAAAAACTAGAGGTTTTTTTTTTTTTGAGGCATTTGCTTATGCAAAACTTGTATGCATGATATGACATCATGATATGTCCTGAATGTTTTTTTTTTTTTGCTGTTGCTGGGTGGTTGCTTACGTGCTCAAGTCAAATTAAGGTCTCAAGGAGTACTTTAATGCATTTTCCATTTATTTTGTTTTGTCTACAAGACCTTAATCCTAACTCCAAAAAGATCATTTTGTATGAGAAGTTCAAGCAGAATGAGCAATGAGAAGAATTTGCTAAATAATTACTTTGGTAAGCAACACCAATTAATTATTTACAAAAATTTTTTAAATCAACATAATGATATGATAAGAATGCCAAATGCAGCAGGTTGCAGTTTTGCACAACAGCCCGTTTGCCAGCATGCCCCTTGCATCTCGATGAACGCCAAATATAGTGTTTTACTGTTCGGTAAATTGTAGTAAATGGAAAATGGCTTGGGATTTCTGACCTCTGAATGTGTCAAATAGTGCCATTGCTACAGAGTTGGAAGCCTGAAACAAAAAGCCCTGGTTTGGTATCATTACCTTGCCTCATTATAGCATTAGCTCTATAAAATACTCCTGTTGTTTGGGAGAAATACTTACTCTCCTCATAATGGAGAGGCTCACACACAAATAGTGGCCCAGTGTGGACACAGACCCAAGTGAAGTGCAGACAGGGACGATTGTCTCAAGTAAAGGAAGCTAAAAGCAGCTCTGTCCCTGGAATGCTGACAGATGGACAGAAACATTTTTTAGCAGCATTTCAGTCCATCTCTGAATCTGACTGGTGTCTGGGATCGCATATTCTACTGTTCTGCAATGCTGACAGGAAGAGAGAAATAATGAGCGAATATAGAGAAAGAAGGCAATTTAAAATCACTTGCACCATGCATGGAAGTAGAGAGGTGTGGGCAAAAAAGGAGGAAGACTTGCCAATTACGTTGTGCTCAACCTCCTGCTCCTCCATTATGGAGCTCTTTCCTTTCACAGTGCTGTCTGGCTCTCAGCGTGGCCCCTCTGATTGTGTGAGGCGTCACTGTCTCACTGATCTCTCTCTGATAGAATCAGATCCTCATGCTGTAGAACTCTACACCATGCCTACATATTGTAACATATCAGATATCTGAAATTAAAAGATGTAGAAGTCATACAATAAGGAAGAAACATTCCTTGCATATGCAGTGTGGTCAAACATGGATAAGGAACAGCTGTAGCTTTTGTAGTGTAGCTACATCAGAGTGAGAGACAGATAGATAGAGTAAGACAGACTGTCCTATAGATATATGAGTAGACGGATAGACAAACGAGTAGATGGACAGAGATATAGATGGATGGATGGATGAGTGGACATAGATAGATAGATAGATGGATACGTAGATAGATAGACAAGATGAGTAGACATAAGTAGAAAGACAGACGAGTGGACAGACGGATAGATACATAGATGGATAGACAAGTAGATAGACAGACATAAATCAATATATCGATAGATGGATGGATGAGTGGACAGACAGACTGATATATAGACAGATAGATAGATAGATAGATAGATGATAGATACGTAGATACGTAGTTAGATAGATAGACACATAGATAGATAGATAGATAGATACATAGATACATAGATGGATAGACAAGTAGATAGACAGACATAAATCAATATATCGATGGATGGATGGATGGATGGATGGATGGATGGATGAGTGGACAGACAGACAGATGGATGGATGAGTGGACAGACAGATAGATAGATAGATAGATAGATAGATAGATAGATAGATAGATAGATAGATAGATAGATAGATAGATAGGTGATAGATAGATGGATACGTAGATAGATAGACAAGATGAGTAGACATAAGTAGAAAGACAGACGAGTGGACAGACAGATAGATACATAGATGGATAGACAAGTAGATAGACAGACATAAATCAATATATCGATGGATGGATGGATGGATGGATGGATGGATGAGTGGACAGACAGACAGATGGATGGATGAGTGGACAGACAGATAGATAGATAGATAGATAGATAGATAGATAGATAGATAGATAGATAGATAGATAGATAGATAGATAGATAGATAGGTGATAGATAGATGGATACGTAGATAGATAGACAAGATGAGTAGACATAAGTAGAAAGACAGACGAGTGGACAGACAGATAGATACATAGATGGATAGACAAGTAGATAGACAGACATAAATCAATATATCGATATATGGATGGATGGATGAGTGGACAGACAGATAGATAGATAGATGATAGATAAATAGATAGATGGATACGTAGATAGATAGACAAGATGAGTAGACATAAGTAGAAAGACAGACGAGTGGACAGACAGATAGATACATTGATGGATAGACAAGTAGATAGACAGACATAAATCAATTATCGATATATCGATAGATGGATGGATGGATGGATGGATGAGTGGACAGACAGACTGATATATAGACAGACAGAGATAGATGAGTGGATAGACCGACAGACGAGTAGACATAAGTAGACAGACAGACGAGTGGACATAAGACAGACATGACAAACAGACAGACAAGATGAGTAGACATAAGACAGACAGACAGACAGACGAGTGGACAGACAGACGAGTAGACAGATAGATAGACAGATTGATATGTATAGATAGGCAGACAACAGATAGATAGAACACTTAACAGTATGATAATGTTAATTATTCATATAAAACCTTAAATACAACCAAAAAAATCATCACAAAAAGGACTGTCACACTGCAACTAAAACATTTTTAAAGTATTTTCATGTTACTTTCTGATGGGAAAACACTGAAACAGGCAATTAGCCTTTTTTGATTTTAGCACTGATTGTGTGTGACAGCTGAACTGAGACTATATATGCGGCATGCTGCCCCTTATTATTTCAGCTCCGTTTCAGTCACCTCCTGTAACATTGACATGAGTCTAAACAAAGACGCATTGCAACATCGGATCACAGGCTGAAAGAAAACATCCCTCAAATAAGATTTCAAATTGACCCTAGGGACAGTACAGTACACTCAACCGGCTTAGTAAATTAATTTGAAGGCTTTTACTGATTCTGACTTCACACGTCAGACAGATTTATTCAAGATGCAAATCAAAACAGAATATGAATTATACATGTTAAATTCTAAAATGATACACTACATAAAAGTAAACAAACTGTGTAGATGCAGTGAGATACCACATTTCACAGCTCTCTCATCTCTCGTGTTGTGTTTTCAGCGTGCAGCATTAGGAATCCAGCAATGTTCCAGTCATTCTCTGGTATTCAAGTGGCCCCTGCAACTAATGTAGCAAGCCAGCAGAACCAGTGGGCCCCGGGGCCCTCGTTCTCCACCTGTCCCTACTCCTACCACACCAACCCGAACCCGGGCCCCTACCACAGCAATCAGCCTTCAACCTGTCCTTGGACACAATGGAAGGTATGCAAAATCTCTGACGCGTTTAGTTTTTGATTCATAGCATTTAACTGTGAAAAACACAATATTACATTGCATTGAACAGGGTTCCCGCGGATCCTTAAAAAGTCTTAAAAAGTCTTAAATTAGATTTTTAAAATTTAAGGCCATAAAAAGTCTTATAAAGTCTTATTTTTACTTATGAAAGGTCTTAAATTTTAGATGACACTTTGACTTAGACATATCTAAAAGCTTTCCAAATTAAAACCATCTAATTATAATTTGTGGATTTGCTAGTTCACGTGACATTTCGCGTCACTCGCGAGTCGCGGCAGCATAACTGTCTCCTGCACGCGAGAGGAGAGAAGGAGAAGAAAGGTCGTAAATGTCAGTTCAGTTGTAAGTTCATTCTTTATATGCGTATGGTGTGCGATGTGTATTGTCTTTAATTATATTGTAATCATTGTTTTAACAATGTACGAGGCACTGCGAGCTGACATCGCATTTGTCTCTCGTGCCTTCACTGCGTGATGTGTGCAGTGTAACTGTTATGTCCCCAAGTTAGTTTTTGTCTTATATTTATATCATATTATGTTCTTAAATTAGAATATCACATCAGAAAGAGTGCCGTTTTCCCGTGCACAATTCCAATTGTGATATTTATGTTATACAACAGTACAATTAACAATAAGTTAAAATTGAGTTACTTTTTAGACACAACATTGTCAATATAGTTTGTTTTCCCTTTATTTCGCCGACTATAATTTCAAAATGAAACCGTAGCAGAGTCTCAATGCAACCGACAGCGATTATTTCTTGACTGAAATCCGCGTTTTGAACGAATCACTTGCTTCTTTCCCGAATGAATCAGCCGTTTGAACGAATCGGTTGAATGAATGACTCCCTCAACTCACTTATTAAGACAGTGATTTGCCGCTGCGGTTTCATATTTAAAGTACCCTTTAAATAAAATGTTAAAATTAGAAATCATTTCATATTTAAATATTGAATATTGATTTAAAAATATATATCTCATAGCTTTATTTATGCAGTTGTAAATGGAGTGTAAATAAATTAATGCCACTTCTGATGCCGCTTCTGTCACCTCTGTACTGCAAAGATGGATTTTGATTGAATGATTTAATTTGACTGTAACAGTGGTACTGTATGATTATTATATAATTAAGTATTATTGTATAATTACTGTATAATTTAATTTGAATGATAGTATTTGCCATTAAAGGTGATGCATAACTCTAAATAAGTTTAGAAAAAATGTCCATATATAGGTGAAAATGCCCCTGAAAGAATCAATTTAAGGTGGCAAATATTGCCCCTTAATTAAAATATTAATTTCTGTCACTGCTGTGAACTGACCACTGCATAGAATATGAAAAATATGAATATCTTCGTGAGTCAGCTGTCAACAACAGACCTAAACCAGCCATGGCACCAGCACAAAAAATCAGTAAAATAACATCTAATTATTATCAACAAAATGTTGAAAATATCAATATATATTTTTGTCAATACTGCACAGCCCTAATGTACGGTATTAATTTTGATTTCTTCAGGTCTTAAAAAGGTCTTAAAAAGCCTTAAATTTGACTTTCAAAAGTGTGCAGGAACCCTGTTGAATGAAATCGAATGCAATGCAGCGTGTTTTACTTTTTGCGGTGACAAGTATGTCTTCATGGAAAATGTATCTTAACTGATATTATTCATTAAGTGGAACTGAGTTAAATGCATTCACAACATTTATAAGATCAAGTCTGACTTTGTGTTGACTAAGTCACTCTTTATTTTAGCGACTGGTAGTCATTAGCACACTCACAAGAGTGCTGGCAGTATCATTAGAGCTGGTATTAATTTGGTTACATGCATCATAACACAAATTAAAATGACCCCTTGGTGTGGAGGGGGGCAAAAACTCGCACATGATCTGAAAAAGAGAGAGAAAGAAAGTGTTAGTCAGTCAGCATGTCTGTGAATGTCACTATTAGTAAATTATTCTACTAGTATTTTCATTAGATTTATAATTTCATTTTATTTGATTAAAATAAGACTGATTAATTTTAGGTTTAAGTATGTATATGAATATATTTCAAAGAAATGGACAATGACAGGGTCACATTCAGTGTGCTTCAGAAAGTAAAACAAAAGAAAATTGCAGTTTAAAGTCTTTATGAAAAAATTCTAGAAAAAAAATTGTTTTAGTATTAATTAATGTGTGTGAATTGCATTGTACAAAATCAGAGGCCTTTTTCTCGTTTCTGCCACATTGATACTTAACCCCATAATGTGATTATAGACGCATGCCTATGTCCGCACATTTGAGCCAGAAACCACCCAAACAGCCTTTGTGTCCCAGGACTCATTTGTCTGGAATTCCAATGCTGTGGATTTGCGGGCGGTTTTGTTTCGGAGCGTAATTCCACACTATGTGCTGACAGAACACTAATCACAATAGTCACATTCGACAAGTGTTTATTTTGACTGTAAAAAGTAAAAGTTCCTGAACTGGGCTGTGAGTTTCTATATATCATTCATTCTTTTTCATTCTTAGGCATTTTCTTAAAAATTATTGCTCAGAGGTGCTTTTAAATAGCTTAGGAGAGCAATATAAATGGCTAAATATAAATATATGCTGTATAAGAGAGCAAAATACAGAGAAAGATTTAACTCTAAGATTTAATATTGAAATCTCTAACATTATCAAATCTAGGCACAGTTTTAGTAAATGTTATCTATTTATCAATCAATCTATACAACGTGTGTGTGTGTGTGTGTATATATATGTATACATATACACACACACACATATATATATATATATATATATATATATATATACACACACACACACATAATAAAATAGAATATTTACATATACATTTTTAAATAAAAATTTGATGGGGACTTTCCATAGACATATTGATATGTGTTATGTATACCTTAACCTGAAGGGTATAGACCTGAACCACACACATGTATATATGTATATATGACACTTAAAAACTCATATTATATTTGAAAAAAGACATGGCCATTGTTTAACTGTATTGTCTACACAAGCCTTTTGTCCTTGGAACCCAATAATCGTCGCTTTAATTAAAAAATGAAGCCAGATGTATTATTTATATATATATATGGGGAAATCTAATAACAATAATAGTAAAAATACACATCTCATTTGTGCTTTGTGATCATTTGTCTTTCAAATGAGTTATGATCTGCTTAAATTGGCCAGACAGAAGAAAAACATTCACTTCATCTGCACTTTTAATACCTGTCAGAAGGAGAAAGATAGAAATCAGATTTTCAGACAGTCAGTTTTAGGGTGTGCGAAAGGGAATAGAAGAGGCTGGAGCACATCAAAGCTGCCTTGTGTTTGCTCTGGTCCACAAGAGGCCTTTCATGTGTTAAAGTGTGTGTGCGTCTGTGTATTTCAAACACTGCAGCACTACCTGTGTTTGGAGGAAAGAGGCTGATCTCTTAGAAGCGTGCTGTCCCTTGAGGCTACGGCAGACATACACACACACTTTCACTCAAGAAGACACAGATCTATAACTGTGTATCTACTCGCCTCCCCGCCTATGAGGCAGTTCGGGTAGAGCCAAGGGGTTATGGGAAGACGTATTATGGGAGACGGAGATGGGGGGGATCCCGGCTGACTAATAAGACCAAAGCAAACTGCGAGGAGACCACCCACCCCGTCTGGCTCAGACCCAAACTCAGTCTGACATCCTGCGGCCCACTGGACTGGCAGGAGGGAGGGCAGGTCGAGACGTTTTATAGGGATAGACAGTTGTAGCGTACACTGGCGCGGGTGTGCATAACAGTCCATACATTGGACTGCACAATTAAAATGCTCTTGACGGAGCAGATATGCTAAATACAGTCTTGAATGCTAACAGAATTGTGAAAGCGTTACATACACAATCTTACTCTGATGATACTGAACATGTATGGCCCTGTAAATGGCTTAAACTGTTGTCTTTGATTGTGGAATTATCATAAATGGTTTAAAGTTGGCATGAAACAAAAAATAATTCATTATTCTGAATGAATGATATTATTGTAACCTTTTTGTTGTAAACGCCCCCTGAAATAAAATATACTGGTCATTTCGCTCGGATGTACATTCATAGGCCGGACACTGAGATGGCTGCTGCCGAGAACATCGTGCTCGAGTGGACCCCTCCACCCTGCACTGAGCGTATATGCAAGAAAAGATCTGTCCCAACTTCAGTTTAAACGGACCTAAATTTTATTGCAGCAGGTTTAGCAATGTGTATAAAAGCATTTAGCTGTGTTGCGTCAACTTATTCAATGTGCATGTGCCATTTTAAGTACATGTTTACACTACAAAAAAGTAGCTACCTTGGCAATTGTATATTTATATATTTGCATTTTTGCATGATAGTTTTACATGATAATATAACTGATACGCACTCACAGTATGAATTCTATTTTCAATGAACAAGCATTGCTAAAGCAGGGTGGGTGGAGCGCGGATCTAGAGAAACGGTGGCATTTTTGTCAACTCAATCGTCCAGGACAAAAAAAGAGATGGCTAAAAAGAATGAAAGATGGGTGGAAGGATAGAAAAATGGAATAAAAGCAAATGAGGAAGGAAGGATGGAGAACATGAACATCAGAATTTACTTGCACCCAATGATTGTGAATCAGCAGTGAGAGGAAACCGTATTAGCAGCTCGGATTATGACAAACGGCCTGTCATCAATTGCAACATAAGATGGGGTTTTTCCAGGACTCGTCACTGTTCTCCCTGTCTATAAAACAACCGAGTCTGATCAGAAGTACTTCTTGATCAAGTACAGCATTTCCAGGGACTTTTACAGCCCTGCTGTTTGGCGATGTTGCTTGGTCCTTCCGTGTCTCTTTGATCCGTCAGGGTTGTTCCCTGGTAATAGGATTCAACCAGCGGCCTTTTAAGTTCAATACATTGTGTGTAAAAAAAAAAAACAATGTGGGATGGGAACCTGTTTATCTGTCTGGAA